AAATCATATTAGAAGCCGATGACTATCAAAGTACAACATTGTTCACAGTCAAATAAACAGTGTTAATGTTGTTGTCAAGTCACACTTGCAGGTTATTTCAAACCGAATATTCAAAGTGCCATGGTAAACAATATAGGAATTGTCACAAGTATCACTGAATGAATGTGTGAATATAAAACCAACTTTACCTTATTAACTTAAACTTTCACATTTCATTCTTAGCATTCAGTGTCCACAGTTTTATTAACCACATGTAACTGTTGCTATTGTAGCCTGTCTTTTTTTGCAACCAGGGACCCTTGGGACATCATGTGTGACGTGGGTTGGTAATTCATCTTTAGGGGACGTCATGGATATTAGGTCCATATCTTTTATAGTGTATAGTATGTGATCTAAACTAAACTAAACTAAACTAAACTAAACTAAACTAAACTAAACTAAACTAAACTAAACTAAACTAAACTAAAACAGCACAATAACACATGCTTATTTAGACCTGAGATGTTGTATATAACAACACTGTAAATCAATGTAAGACAGATGAAGACAATAACAAAAACACAATGTAGAGATTTGCTTGTTGGGCTAAAAAAATAAATATATAATAAAAAAATACCAATACCAATACCAGTTACAAACCAAATAATCAATCAATCAATCAATCAATCAATCAATCAATCAATCAATCAATCAATCAATCAATCAATCAATCAATCAATCAATCAATCAATCAATCAAAGCTGCCCTCAAAACTAAGAAGCGTAATGGCACCCCACACCATAAGAAAGAATGATGTGCATCAACACCTATCGCAAAGTGAAGTCCTCTTTCAAACTCTGCTCCATTCGAACAGCACTTACGTCTACATGATTCGGTCTGGTACTTCATAAATACGCATTATTCCCTCCGTTTATAACTAGCACAGGTGTGATTCACTAGCAGTTATTGCCATTTACTCTCCATCAAGATGGAGTATAGAACGCTGCAGATGGGTTTGTAAAGCTACGGTCGTTCTCTTCCAAGAAGTCTGTTCAATTAGGCTTCTCTGATTTCCCCAGAGAGTGCTCCTCTCTTTAAAACGCATCATTAACACAGGCTTACCACTCCCAAAGGATTGCATCACCCCCGCCCGACATACAGCGGAGTCAAACCTGCTAAGAGCGAGAGCATGCTAACACGTAGAAACCATCTTTTCTCATCGACCCAAACTTTTGAGGTCTAGAAGAGGAGGATTTGTTGAAAAGCTATTAGCGCTAAACTATAAAATAGATGTCTATAAGCAAAACAGTGTATTCTACTTTGTTTTGTCAGTGAAATAATTGGTACTAGGAAATATTAGGTTTTAAGGATTCTCATTTTGTTTTGCTGGTCTCTTTCAATACATTCATGGACGAAAATAGATTTGAAATCATCTGATTTCTTTTAAAAAAATCTCCAATTATTTATTTAAAATCCTAATAGACTTTATTTTCTAATAGCCAACTCTGCTCTGATTGGTCAGATGGCTCAGACAAATGTGATTGGTCTATTGGTATCATTACCATTGCCACAGTGAATTTGTACTTTGCTGAGCCTGTATAATGTTGTCTGTAATACAATAATGTTCTAAATAGATATAAATATAAATAGTATAGATTTAAATATAGATAGTTCCTTGCACTGATCCGCTATTTAGTTTTTTTTTTGTTTACTTCAAAGTGTCATCAGTATCCACCACAGTCTAATTATTATGTGACTAATTAGAGTAATTAACTGCCAAATAGTGCAATTATTTAGATAAAAACTCATATGCATTAGCAGTGCTCATTTTTGGCTGATTAACAATGCCGACATTGAGAGACAATCAGAATCAATACTGAGCTCAAGCACTTAAAGCGGTAGACAGCATAACTGCAGCTTTTACTAAACCAAACATTCTTGTCCATTGGTATTGAAACTTATTTATAGCTATCCTTATAAATGTAAATTTTGATTAAAGTAATTTTTTTTGGGTAAACAGGACGATGTAGAATGATGTTGCTAAAAATGGTAGCCAAATATAGTTTTACATTTACACATCCATGGAAATAGCCAAAAACACTATTACTGTAGGCCAGGCCAGTTTTTGGCATTGTCACCTTGTTAGTAAACAGTGTCTAGGGAAGTAGGGAAGTGATGACACTCTACACTGGTGTGTATGTAGAACTTACCATGAGCTTATGAATTATATAATAAGAATATACAATAAGATTTCAGGTCAATTTGGAACTTTGTGATTTAGTGGCAAATTCGTATGAATTTGTATAATCTCATTGTACAATTTAGTACGATTTGCTTATCCCCAATGATGGTTGGCTTTAGGGGTGAGGTTGGGTGCCATGTTTCCTTTTTTAAATCGTATGTTTTGATACGACTGAACTTTTTGTACGAATTTGTAAATAAGCCTTTATAAACTGACAAAACATAAAATAGTTACGTTTGCTCATAAGATCAGGCTGGAATACACTAGTATAAAGCGTAACATTAGCTTCGTTTCCATTCATCCACCTATTTGTAACATCGCCGGTCCTACACCATACCCACACGCTCCGAGATGGAATCAAACCAGAGACCTTCCACATGGAAGCCGGTTGCTCTACCAAGGAGGCTAAAGACCATGGCCTCTAGCGTATGTCGCTAGAGCACCTTTAGAGGTCAGGGTAGTGAGGTTTACCTGCATTGCACTTACTAGCTGGCCTCCATTACACTTATCCCTCTGAACCTCTTTACCATCCGGGTCACGGCACCAATGTAACCCCGCCGGTCCTACACCACCCAACGCGTTCCGAGCTGGTATTGAACCGGAGACCTTCCGCATGGGCGTCGGTTGCTCTAATAAGGAGGCTAAAGACCATGGCCTCTAGCATCTGTCGCTAGAGCACATTTAGAGGTCAAAGAAGTGAGGTTTACCTGCACATTACTTACTAGCTGGCCTTCAGTATAAGTATTATATTGTTAGTGACCTCCAGAATTGTCTGATGCCTTTAAAAGTAATTTTTTAAATGAAGCAAAGATTTACGCAGCTACTCCTACCACAGCAAATTTCATTTTTACCGTTGAAAGTTAGCGGCAGTGACAATCAGGAAGCAATGATTTTGTTCGATTTGCCTCGTTGGATGTAAACGGTGCTATATTTGCATGTCTTTTATGCAATAATCTTGTTTTGCGCATAAAGTTAATTTGCATTTTTGGATGGAAACATAGCTAGTGTGTCTACACTATTGGTTGTTATGTAAAGTAAATCCACACTTGCAATGAGAAGTGCCTTTTTTGAATGGTTTTCTAATGACCGAGAGCATTTTGTGTGCTGCTTATGTGCATTTTAACCAGCTGCTGCACCTAATTTTTTATTCCATTGCGCTCTGCCTACCAGCAGTTAAAAAAGTCAACTCGCTTCCCTTTTTTCATTGTCCAATCAAATGAAAGCAGAGACTGGGTTTTCATTGAGGTGACAGCAGTGTTTGTGTTGTCAATACAACTACGAATACTTTTAAAGATGAAGGAGAGACTAGTGGTCGCTGTTTTGAGGTACTTTACATATCATGAATATCACAATATTATTAAATATTACAATTATAACAACATCAACACAATACACAGCTGATCCAGCGGTTGCCAAGTGACATTAAAAACGCAGCACACTTCTGTTTTCCTTGTCAACAATAAAAGGCAGTGCAGTTCTCAGAACGGAAATGGGAGTTCAGTAAAATTGGCCCCTTAGAAAACACTGGAGAAACAACAACATTACCACATACTAGGCTACTCCATACTGTACAGGCCATACCTGTAAACATTAGAATGTGAAAATAAGAGATATGGCCACCATAATAATAATAATAATAATAATAATAAAATTAAATATGTTCTTCTGGATTGTTAATAAACAGTTAAATGATCAGTAATATGTTTTATTTATAATATTTATTAATATTTTCAAATATATTAACAAACAGATAATTAAAATTAATAGCTATATTAAGAAATCGAATCAAGTTATTGAATCTCATTAACCTTTTCTTCACTGTATAACTTACATATTCTAATTAAAGAGCAACAAATGAATCCCATTCATTTGGATTTTTCATTTGATATAGATTAAATAACAGGTGTTACTTAAAACATGCAAATATCTAACGTTGTAATGAAAGCATTCGTTTGCTTTCCTAACTTTTTATGCTTATTTAGGACACAATAGGTTGTGTTTGAAAAAACAAAACAAAACAAACAACATCTTAAGATCGACGTCTTGAGATGTTATTATTATTTATTATGTGTATATGCCTGTTAAAACGGACACCCAACACCCAGACTTTTGCTCCGCTTCAGGTATGACAGGTATGCTGTAGGCTACTCCACTACTGTTCTGTGTTTGTTCGCGGTTGTCTTTAATCCACACCCTTCAAGACACTACACCTTACTAAACACTACACCTACCTAGACTCTTGTTTTCATGTATTTTTTCGGATTTTCATAAACTTCCTGTTTTTAGATTTCTGCATTTTTAATCCCAAAAAATGCCATTGTTGTGTAAACAAAGAGGCAGAACACATAAAAAACAATTCTAGTTTTTGGCTGAAAAGGTTGCCGTGAAAATGACCCCTTAGTCAAATAGTGAAATCACAAGTTAATGAATTTTTTTGAAAGTCTGAGTCATTTCTTTAGAATCGTTTGCTTCGCAGTTCACCCTGTGTTTGTTGTTGCAATTAGCATCACCCATTGTACTTAGGCTTTCAATGATGCAGAAGAGCTTGCTTTATAGAACATTCTTTTCATTCTTCAATACATTGATGAGAGGAAAAGAAAGCAAATGTCAACTAGGTATTAGCTACCAAGTAACGAAAAACACAGAAAGTCTTTTTTTTATAGATGAAACAATCGGAAAGCAGGTTAAGCATCAGAGGATTGGTATTTGTGGCTCAGACACCTGCTTCAAAAGATCATGGGATAGTGACAGGACACAAATTTCCACTCCCTCGACTCACCCCCGACTTCTCATCGAAGATCTTGATCCCCCCAAAGGACACAGTCAGAAAAACTTTCTGTTTGTGTTCTCCTTTAGACCGCGCAGAGGCTGCGATTCCCTGCAGACAAGAAGATGAAAACAGAAACATGAGAAGAGAAGAAATGAAGATAAAACAGGAACAGAGCTAGGAATGGCAACTTTCGCTACTTGCTGCAATCCTTGGGGAACATTAACTGTTATGCAAAGAAACTGATTCATTTTTTGTCAGTGTTTTTAAAAAATTCTGGCTTAGATGTTTTGATATGGACCGGTTTAGAGTAAAAGGAGACATTCGTGTTTTTAATCTCTACTGACAGATACCATAACTACACTTTTCTTTAGATAAAAGAGCGGACATATAAAAACCACCTCATAAAATATCGAATAGTGAATGCATCAAGGACTGTTTGCTGAGGCTTATAAATAATGCTCAGTTTCCTGCACAGATTGATTTATTCACTTTACAATACCTTAAAGCATCATCTGCAGCCAACTCTATCTAGGCACTGCAGATTTTGATAGTCTATGCTGATTTTGTGACTGTATTTGATTTTTTTGATGACCCGCTTACATCATCATCATTTAAAAGTGACTTGTATCCGATGTCTGTATTCGCATGGCAAAAGGCGTAATGAGCAGGAAAAAAAGAGCAGGAGCTGACTTACAGCTGATAATAAAAGAGCATTCTTTTCCCCACTGCTGTATTTAATCTGTTCGCTGGGTTTAATTTTTTTATTTTCTTTTTCACAAGCTGAAGCCTTTTTTGCTAAAGTTTAAGATAGAAAACTTATAATTTGAGCATCTTTTAATTGAGACTTCTTTTTAATCGCTAGGGACTTTAATGTGATATCCATGGCATGATTCACATACACCCGGCGCAATGTGGCGCAAGGCGCGACGCAATGTTGTTTGCAAGTTTCAGCTTGGCACAAGAGTCGTTTTGACGTTTTTTAGAATGCTGTTGAAATAGCAAATGCATTTGCGCTCATATGTGCACCCATACTAAATCAAAAAGTTAAGAATTTCTGTGAAATGGTGTTGTCCTCCTGCTCCAGCTTTATGTTTTATGTTGATCATATTAAAACAAAGAAAACAATCTGAAGTTGTTGTATTTAAGTTGTATATACCATGATTTTACTGGTCCGGCCCGCTTGGGAATAGATTTTCCTCTCTCCCCTAAGCTAAAATGAGTTTGACACCCCTGATTTAAACCAATATTTTGAGAACAAAGAGAGAAATAAACTACAGAATGAATGTGACAAATAAATAGCAATCTACCACTCAGGGGCGGACTGGCCATCTGGCAATTCTGGCACATGCCAGAAGGGCTGGACCATTTTTAAATTTGGGCCGGTATGCTTTTTTAAAATTATTTTTTTTTAAATGTATATGTATTGTTTTTACATGCAGGCAGCTTTTATCTCTTGCAAGATGCGAATATTAGGATGATGATAATAGTAATAATAATAAATGTTAAGCGTTGGCCCAATCGACAATGGCCGGCTGGTTTCAAGATGGGCCGACCCAATAAGAGGTTACACGGATGTAATCAAAATCTGGCAGGAATGTCTTAGACTTAGACTTAGACTTAGAAAACTTTATTGATCCCGCAGGAAATTGCTTATGTAATGACTGCCATAACACACAAAACACAGAAACACAAAACCACAAGACAAAATAAATAAATTAAGTAAGTGAAATAAGTCACATAAATCCAACCAATCTATAAAAGGAAACAGCCACAATACATAAGTATACAAACTATTATATAAGATATTACACTTAAAAGAATCAGTGGTAACTAATACTATTAAGTCATATATCAAGTAATGAAAGTAATATTAACCAAAACTAATAATATTACACATAAAACAATTACACATAAAATAATTCAAGTAGTAAAGTGATTCAGCACTCATTTAAAAAACAATGATACAAATTGTTGTTTGTCGAACAAACAACAAGCTAATTGTCAGAGATGGACTGTAAAAAAGGAAAAGCGTGCCAAAAAGCTCAGAGAAGGCATAACATTGCTCTAAAATCAGACGCTGCCAAATGCATAAAATTAACTGAAAGAGTCTCGAAAGGGGGCAGCACAGTGGGTAGCACTGTCACCTCACAGCAAGAAGGTTGAAGGAGTCAGTTGGTGTTTCAGTGTGGAGTTTGCATGTTCGCGTGGGTTTCCTCCTGGTTTCCCCCCAAGTCCAAACACATGTGCTATAGGTGAATTGGGTTGGCCTAATTGTCCGTAGTGCATGTATGAGAATGTGTGTATATAGGGGTTTCCCAGTGAAGTGTTGCAGCTTGGAGGGCATCCGCTACGTAAAACATATGCTGGGATAGTTGGCGGTTCATTCCGCTGTGGCGATCCCAAATTAATAAAGGGACTAAGCAGAAAAGAAAATGATTGAATGACTGTATGTATATTTGTTATAAACGGGTTGTTTTTGTTCCAGTCACATACATTAAAAGTTTAAATATCTATTACATATGGTACTGCTTATATTATTTCACCATCTGTACACCAATATAAGTTGTTAATGTGCGTGTCTGTGGGTGGGGCTGAGTCAGTGTGGTAATTTAGGCTGGTGTGGCTACAGTGCCAGTGCTGATTTTTTGTCCCAGTCCGCCCCTGCTACTACTAAATTAAACTGGTCAAAGCAAGTCTTAAAGATTCAATTTAGCAAAATCCCTGATCAGCAAACAAATGTTTGTTCTTGAAGTTTTTGACTACTTGACAATAACGAAAGAAAACAGCAATAACATGCAGGTGCGAGGAGCTACTTAAATATATAATATTACTTAATTTGTATTGCTTACTCTAGCCAATAACTTGAAAAATGAGATATGATTGTGACAAGTTATCATATACAGTTTTCAAGCATGTGGCTCTCCAGTACATCACAAAAGGTATAATTTGAGCTTTTGTTCTTCACATTTGTTCAATACAGCAGATATCAGAGAGGGAAAAAAATCATCTGAATTGTTTGACAGTGTAAATGGAGTCTATTTGTCCGTGTGGAAGAAAGGATAAGGAGAAAACAAGAGAGAAACCATTTTCTTGTGAACACTGAAAGCTATTGAATAAGCTATCAGCCACAAACTGAAATGCTGACTTCGCTTTTACAGTTAACCCTTGAAAGCCAACAACCTTCACAGTCTTTTTACCCCCCTAGGAATCCCTCTCTTTTCGATTATTGGATCGAACCACCAGTTAGAATGAGAATGGAATCAATTGGGCCAGTGGATGGTGTGCTTCTACAAGGGGGCACATACTAAAAAGCCCACAGTGATACAAAAAGCTTTGAACATTTCTGTTCTTTACTGTATATTAGATTTCAATTTAATGTGATTCAAAAAGAACTCCAAGGTTTTTCAACCTTTTTGTTTTGTGTTTAGTTCTGGTACATGGAAGCATATTAGTAGCAAAATACATTTTAAAATGTAATATGCAATAAGTAGAATAAAAAAAATGCATTTGTGTATTTAAATTGACATTTTTTAAACCTACAGTTGAAGTCAGAATTATTTACCCCCTGAATTATTCACCCCCCCCCCCCCATTTATTTTTTACCCAATTTCTGTTAAATGGACAGTTTTTTTAACACATTTTTTAAACATAGCTTTAATAACTCATCTCTAATAACTGATTTGTTTTATCTTTGCCATGATAATAGTAAATAATATTTGACTAGATATTTTTTCAAGACACTTTTATACAGCTTAAAGTGACATTTAAAGGCTTAACTTGGTTAATTAGGCAAGTTATTGTATAATGATGGTTTGTTCAGTAGACGATCTAAATAAAATTTGCCTAAAGGGGCTAATAGTTTTGTCCTTAAAATGGTATTTAAAACATTAAAAACTGCTTATTTTCTAGCCAAAATAAAACAAATAAGACTTTCTACAGAAAATAAAATATTATCAGACATACTGTGAAAATGTCCTTGCTCTGTTAAACATAATTTGGGAAATATTTAAAAAAGAGAAAAAAAAAATCAAAGGGGGGCTAATAACTTTGACTTCAACTGTCTATGCAAAGTTTAGTGCAAAATGAAAATTATTTTTGCAATACATTTGCAGGGTCCAGCCACAGTTTTAAAATGTAAATCACATATTTACTTCAATGCATTAAAATGTATTAAACTGACAATGTATATCAAGCGATTGAACTGATCATGTAAAACCCAATTTTAATTTATGTGTACAAGCAGAAGCAAGCAGAAATGGTAGCAAAATGCTACTTTAAATGCTATTTGTCCTAATTGCTTTTAGACTCTGGGTTAAGGGAAGTAAGTTTACATTTTCATGATTACATCATGGGATGTATGTAACAAATTCAATGTGTTTTTCTAAAATTTCATTTGGAGATAAATATATAGCAAAAACGTAGCACACTGGCAGGCTAAATGTACTTTTAATGCATTGACACTCACACTTACTATTTTATAGATCTCAACAAATGAGTTAAAGTGGTTTTGAAAATACTTTATGGTTATGGCTGATTAATGAACAAATCATTTAACCATTTCTATTTACATTAAAACATTTCAAAATTAATATTGCTACTTATATGCTTCCACACTGTAAAAAAATGTAGGGTTCCACACAACTTCTTTATGTTGTCCCAACATAATTGACTAAGCTAACTAAATTGTTTGGTTACACTTTATTTTGTTGGTCCATTTGTTAAATGTAAGTTAAATTGCATCTACATGCCAACTAATTCTCATTATATTATAAGAAGACTGTTTGGTTAGGGTTAGTGTAAGTTGCGTACTTGCAATAGTCAGTTAATTGTCTGTTGAAGAGCAGTAACCACAGATATTAAGCAGGCAGTACTAATACTCAAATAGACCATCAAAATAAAGTAATGCCAATTCTTTTAACAAATGTAAGTGGATTAAACATAAAACTATTACATTGTCCCAAAAAAAAAAAAAAAAAAAAAAAAAAAAAAAAATATATATATATATATATATATATTGGGTTGTTTAAAAAAAGTGTGTTAAGAGTGTATGTTTAGTTCAGGAATTTAATGATAAGTCATTTTTATTTTAAGGTCCCGTTAAGTGTTTC